TCCGTATTCGCAAATAACGTTTGTCGATCTTCGTTTTTGCTACCGTTTTTCTTTCTACCAATCAATTCGTCATTATAACATATCTCATTATAAAATTATTTCCCGTAAGTCATTATAGCGCTGATATACTCATAAAAACGCACTTTCTCACCGTCGCGAAAGAAAGTCTTACTCCGGTATACGTAACATTGTACAGAATTGATTTTTATACATACAGTTATCTTTTTGGATGGCATCGTAGATTTTAACTTTACGCTTAAATAGTCGTTTAGCGTATCGGTTTCACGCTCGTGAAAATTATTTTTAAAGATAATAATATTAGCCCGGTAAATAGCATATCAAATGTAATATCGAAGCTAACAATGTATATGTTTTCCTTCCTTCAAATCCTTCGAATCCTGCTCAAAAGGGCACTGTGAAACTCCCGCACGATAGTATCTTTCGGCAAATTCAATAAATAATTTACGAAACTCCATTATACTCTTTTATCTAATAGTCCACTAAATTAAAACTAAATCCAGTCGCAGGAGTAGGTCATTTCACGTACCTACACAACGCACACACAGGCACACACACATGCACACGCATTCTCTTTATCCTGATTTTTAAATATATATTAAACATATAAATCTATTCCTGCTTCTTCCTTATTTCAACTCTGCATTAAGCCAAATGGAACTAGAATCAAATAAACCTCAGCTCATGTCTCCGAGATCCTACACGATCGGCAATCCTGTCGTTATTCGATTTTGCAAGCTGGAAGACCTTGTCGAAGCTTCACGCTACGTTCCATCTTCGAACGCATCTGCATTCTCTCACTAGTAGCTCTTCCATCTCCATTTAATATTCTGCGCTGATTTTTCTTCTCTTGTGAGTGTATTCTTCTGTATTAGCATTTCGGAACTTCTCTTCATCCTGACGTCGTTCCGACTCCATCCTGATGCATCCTGCCAACTGTTCATCTTCTTCTTTTTTTCTCCTACAAGTGTGCGCGTACTTTTGCTTTCACTAGTCATGTAACAAGTCGATATTCGGTCTAGACAACGAGCGGTCATCAATCGTTGTTCATATCCTTCAATTCGGTATAAGCGATCCGCTTTCGGTACAGATTGCTACCGCTCGACAGCACGTTCCTCTTGTTCGACGGACCGGGCGTGTCATAATGTCGCCTCTTGTACATGACCAGCCTGCGAAAGAAAAAACTAGTTAAGATATCTGCATGGTGATTAATTTCCTACAAAAAAAAATATTAAACGAGTATTGCTTTCATTTCGTAAATTATGACTTATTATAATTAACAATAATGTCAATCATTTATCATTATAAAGAATACGATATTAAATAACAATCTTTTATTATCGTCCATCTGCGTGCGTTGTTTTTCTGTAATTCTGTGATCAGATTTTGATTACGATTATTGTAATTAATAATTACTGTAATTGTATTGGAAATACCAAATTTTTTTTGTAAAAGTGCTGTGCGTAATTAATTTTTTCAAATATCAAGGTGGTATTTTCCTGCGGAACATCTACCTTTCTTTCAGTTAAAAAAAATATATAATTTATTAAAAACACGAAATAAATTTTATTTTTCTCTTATTTTAAAACCTTAATTCGATTCCAAACACAGATTCTCTTTGAAATGTCATCAAGTTCTCATAAGTTTAAATAAAAGCCCTATTTTTCACAGGAACGATTTCACTTTCACATTTTTATCGCGATCGAAAAAATTTATCACAATTTCTGTTTTTCTTCTTAATTTATTGTATCAATAAACTAATCTTCCGCCCACGAAAATAATTCCTTCGCCTACGCAGCACTGCGCAATGTCCGTTCGTCTTCGAATCTTTATCAATACGAACGGCTCGATTCGTATGGGATTACCGCGTTTTATCAGTACAATCGCAGGTCAGTCCTTGAGCACGATCTAACGCTGGCAGGAATTTGCGCAAAAAGTTTGAATGGCAAATGCAGTCACGCCTACATCACGTGTATTGTTCACTGACGGCCATTCGTTTCCTCCTCTTTCTCTGCACCAACACGTGTGCTGGTGCTGGCAATTGTATCGGTACATTCACGGGAGATACTGATAGCTACATGCAGTTAGTAGCTCCATCACACTTCTCGCAATAACGTCGAAACCATGGCTATGTGTTCTTCATGTAATAGTGACATACATCCGGAGCGTCTAAAAATTCGCGTTATTCTAATGGCAAGAAATATTGTAGTTAACGCGAATAAAGAAGTAAAGCTTTATTCCTTCCGGTGTAATATTTCCTGTTTATTTTGTGAGTATTATAGTTCCTCCTTCCAAAGAAAAATTTCATCCGAGGTATATTTAATTTCGAGGAGCCTGAAGTCTAAATACTTCATTTAAATTATAATTAAGATATTTACTAGATATTCATATAAGTAAATAAAAAATCAACAGCTTGGAAATTTAGTCATATTTTAAAGTGCGTATAATTTTCGAATTTTTTCCCGGGTAAAATTAAATCTCTTAATTCAAGAAAAAAAACTTGATTCTGCAAAAATGTATATCTTTATACACTTGAAGCTTTTCTTCTTCGAATTAAATTTTTTTTTAAGAGAACGTCTTCGAATACTTCTCTACCTTCTGGTATATTTTGGGTCACCCTGTATGATCATCACGACTCGAATGTTATCTACATAATTACTATTGATGGTACACTAAGCTCCATCGAAGGTGCGCGAAAACTTCCACTCGCGATGGAATGATAATTATCGCTATAACAAAAGGCTCTTCGAATGCCATCTATCAAAAGGAATATCCTTGTGTGCAACTTGGCAATGCATTCTTATGCAAACATTTAAAAATATACATCTGTATTCTTTAATTACACAAAAAAAAAACAAATACAGATTACTCATACATAATTACGTTTAATTTCTGGTATCGTGTTAATACCAGAAAATACTGGTTTAACGAATTCATCTCGTAAATGCAATCCTTCACAACTGATCCTTGACAAATCCGGTTGCACATTAGGCGCAGACTTACCAAACAGAATGAAGGAGCGTATTTATCCGATCTAGTTTCGACGAATATATCTGGAATGTTTCTTTTTTTTTTAAGTAATTATACTTTACGGATATGTTACAGAGTAACGTAAACGGCTGCATGCAATACTCGGTACATCGCAGGATGGGTTTACATATAGACATTCGTTTTATTTATTTTATTAAAGTTATTGTTCAGGGAGCTGGACTTGGATGCAGGGAGCATGCATAACACATTACTTCGCACAAACAGCTGTGGGAAAAGGAAAAATGGTATCCGATTAATAAAAACAATTATCTCGAGTATTGTTATATAATTACGACTGAAAAAGAAACCGTGCAATATTATTCGGGGCAAGACAAACGCGAGTTCTGTACACACTCATGCGTTATTAAATGTCGCTCGGCTATAATAAAGTTCTAAAAAGTGGCGGTATTTCTTCTGGACTAAAAACGTAGAGTAATCGGTGGATAATTCATTAATGCTGTTTGCACGCTAATTAATAATTTTACAATCAAATAAATTATCAAGTTGTGCTAATATTTAAATGTATATGTAATTGTATTAGGGATCTCCATATTTTACAAATAAACTATCTTAAGCAGTTATATGATAAACTTCTTTTTTCAAATATGTTTCTTAAATTTTTTATATTCTTTATTTTTCTTTAGAATTTATTCAATAGATTCGACGAATGCAGACATAGTAATTTTCGAGATCATATAGCTCTAATATTTTGCTCCAATATTTATAAGTATATTGCGTATATGTCGAGCTCACAAAATTACTACAAGGGGAATGATTGTCGCGAATGGGCAAGAGAGGATTATAAAATATAGAGGCGGCAATTCGCGAATTGAAAGCAAACTATCTGTCATCGTTATGGACTGTCAACCGTCAACGGTCGTTCGTTCATTGTCCATCATCTCGCGCTTTCCTCAACTCGTTTAATACTTCGTGTTATCCGCCCGTTTTAGATTCAAGTTATATATAAGGCACTCTTCGAGTAACGACGAAGATTAGAGGAGTAATTTTGGCGACGCCGAGCCTTCACGATGTCGTTATTGCGACTCATAAAAATAAGATGGCTAGGCGCCGTACGCATAACTGACTAGATGAGTCCACTCGTCTCTCAGAAGAGAGAGAAAATGGAATCTTTCCCGTTGTATCTTTTATTTTGTAACTAGTCTTGCTGTTCCCTTAATTTTCTAATTGTCTCACCTTTATACCTTTCCTTTTTCCTGTTGAGGAACCTTATTCTGAGGAATCGGTCTCCGGAAAATCTTGGAGACGTTGATATTTTTGTTCGTTACATAGATATGCGCGACATAATAATTTATCTACCCTAATAATACTAGTACAGTAGTGTATCAATGGCTAATCTCAAAATAAAATATAATATACATCGGTTTATATATAGTATACGTCGTAGAGATAAATTCGAGATATCGCCTGCGGTATTTTTAAAGTTTTAGATCTAAAGATAAAGAATAAATTCCTGCAATGGAAGGATAATAGAACATAATTCGACCAGCGAAGTAGTTCGTTAAATGATCACAGAATATACCTCATAACAGCGCACGTCTGGTGGAGCGATTAAGTAATAGACGATTGTCTAGCGATAATAGATCCTGTCTACGTTAGCCGTCAGTGAGAAGGGCCAAGACATTCCTATAAATAATATAACGACATAATTCCATAACTAAGAAGGCACATGTTTGCAAATATGTTTAGGCACACATACTGGCGATATACTCTTGGAGATAATCTCAGAGATAATACGTACTACAGATATTTTCAGTAAAACAATCATAAATCATAAGGAATGTAAAAAGTGCGGAATGGTAGATACAATATTATATGATAATAAATTTAAACAACAGTAAGTATGATATCAATGACATATCGCAAGTAAGGCAACAAAGATGCATGTCCCTTCTAAAATGTTACTTAAATGCAAATAATATCGTTAATATATAATATATCCTGTGGCTTATAAAATATTCTTTGGATGTGTGGCAAAAGAATCAAAATGACGCTGTTTTCGAGGCCCTCTCGCACACTTGGAGTGTCTTACAATAATATAAGAAGAACAGTGCCCGCACTTGCTTCTATTTGGTCCTTTTATACCCGTTTTACGCTTTCTTCATCGATCGTTCGATTATTAAATCATACAAATCAAACGAGCGAGAAAGAAGAGTGGAAATATTATTTAGATCAATTTCTGTTTCTTCAAGACTGGAAGTATCTACTATCATCGATCGATACGTATCGATCTTTCTAATGTATCTTTTCGCGAATTTTATGCTAGCTGATTTAGGTCACATGGATGTCTGAAACAGAAAGCAAAAAATATTCTTTTAATTTAAGTATGTACTATTAATATTAATTAATGGAAAAGACTTGGATATAATTTTATAAGTTTATAAGAAATAGGCTGTGTTGTAAATTAGGTTTAATTACAAAAATGTGAGTAAGTCTTTCCCATTGTTCTTTGTAAAGACTTAATTCTATCAGTTCGATACTCACCTCACCCTATAAATCCTACTGCTAATGATATGATGATAACTAAAAGCGTGGCTAGCATTTGACCAGCTGATGAAATGACTGACGATGTAGACGCCGCATTCTCAACCACGACGTCTGCCGAAAAGTAATCCTCCGCGGTCAACCTGTCACCATACTTATCCAGCAATGACATTACGAGTCCATTTGACCAGCCGAAACCAAGTTGTACTTCGTACTCACCTCCACTACCGTGACCACCCGAGACGGTCGCATCGTACTGCAAACAAAATTCCATTTACTCTCATTTTAGAAATTTATTCAGAAGACAATTGTATAAACAAAAAATTTTTTTTATCAAACGATTTAACATTCTCGACATAAATAATTTTATTTTTTAATGCGACATAAGTTTTTTTTTCAAAATCGCAATGTACACAAATTTATATTCTTTCATTTCATTTATATTCTTTCTTGTTTTCGTTTCTTTTCATTAGAACCTTACTTTACCTTTTCGTACATGCTGTGAGTCTCATTGAAAGCCTTATAGTTGCTACGGACCCATCTCTGGCTAATCTCGTAGGCTAGTCTCTGCGCCCATGGGTCGCCCGTGTTATTCAACGACATGATGAAGAAATACTGGAGAGGCGGCCAGGCATTGGGATAGTCCCATTGTTCACCGGAATGTTCTAATGTCGTCGGTATGCCGCCCTGATTTAACATGATCTGATTCTTTTCGAGATACTTAAGCACCTTCGACACGTATTCAGTTCTCTTAGAAGTGTCATAGCAGTCCGTCCAGAGTGGCAAAATGTTAGTCGGATAGAAGTAGTCTCGTTTGATGTCGTTCAATATATCGTAGTCCAACCAGACACCCACCTCCTCGTGCCACAATACCATCTTGATCGCCTCTTTCCACTTCTCAGCCAAGTCATCATAATATGCGGCCTTTGTCTCATTGCCCATCTGACGATTGTACTGCGCCAGCAGTATAGCGTTTCGATGTAAGAAGGTATTCAGATCAACCGGAATTATAGATCTGGTCTTGAGATTTGTTAGATTACCTGAAATCCATCTGGCTATCAGCCTCTAGTTCTCTCTTACGAGCTAAGTCGCTCTTATGAGCTGCCGTTATATCGAAGCGCAATTCATTACGATCACTTTAAAAAATAAGTTAAATCGAGTTTTCAATTTCATTATGATGGAATTGAGCGAGGTAGGGGTAGTTTAAACGCTGTGCAGAAAGAAATGACACGATCTAACAATTTCAGTTGCAATACGTGCAGTTTTTGCGAAAATAAATTTTAGAGTACCGATGCCTCGAACATTGCTTTCACTTAAGAAACGAGTTAGAGGGCCTTGAAGTGCGCGCAGATCTCATTGAAGATACGGTGTTTAATGTGGAATAGCACGATAATTGTGGGTAATGCTGCTCATGTATGTGTAATACGTCGTTATAGCTTCGGTTCAATCTATTAAAAAAATTTATGACGAACAAACAGGATTGCGCTCTTAGCTTCTTTTAGTGTACGATAGTAGTTTCTAATAAGCATCGCGGATAATCAAAGAATCTGCACGCAAAAGAATTATTTAATGCGGGACTTCCTACATTCTATTTTTATACGTATTATTTTATAGTAAACATACGTCTATTTTATATATAAATATCTGTTTCTTCCTTATTAAATAACAGATTATCATTATTGAGCTTATAATTCTGTCGCCTCTGTGACAATAACGCTTTATCTAACCATCAAAGTTATTTTAAACCGTACTCGTAAACTCGCGTATAATACTACTGCACCCAACGTCGCTCACCCATAAAGACCTTTATTTTCCTCGCGCGGGAAGCAATTAAGGAATGATAATTACCCTTGTTGGTACCCTCGTGTACGAACCATCGACTGGAAAAATCCCATCCGGACTCGGCCGCCGTTTTCAATTCCGAATAATAATTGTCCTTCTCTTCGGCAGTTCGAAAACTTTGGCTCGTCAGATAGTCCTCCCTGATTACCAAATCGCGAGATTAAAAAACCGAAGGATGGAAATCAATTGTCAGAATTGACGTCGGAAGTGAGAGTAGCATTGCTAATTACTAATAGAACTCGCAAAATTAATGCTGATTTCGTACGTCTCGTAAGAGAGTCAGAATCTCTTGTGAACAATTCAAGTATTGCGCAACGCACTAAAATTAACGCTTACAAACTGACGTAAAGATAATAAGCATAAGTATCGTCAAGAATAATATCTCCGCGTATATATGCTTTAACTCATTTGCTTCAACTCTAGATCATTTAGCTCCTCTCAAAATCCGCAACGTCATTCACGCTATTACAAAGTCGCGATACTTACTTATAGGATTCCGGTCGGGGACCTGATGACTCTTCGTAATACCTAGCAAGCGTATAATTGATCCCATCTTTCTCAATATCCACGGTACGGTTGGTCATCCAGAAGTTGAACTCTTTCTCCAGCAACCAGAGGTTCTCCTTCAACCAGGCGTCGTCGTGGGTGGTCTTTAAATATTCGTCTACCATAGGTATCAACAGTGGTGGATGCGAGCGCATCGCATAGTAGATTCTACCGCCATTTGGTATGAAACCGATCTTATCCACTATCTTAACGAAATTGTTCAGCATGCCCTTAACGGTGTTGTGCATTTCGGACAACAACAGGCCTTTGATGATCCAGTACGAGTCCCAATAGTAAAACTCGCGGAATCGTCCGCCAGGCACGATCACCGGATGCGGTACGTAGATGATCGAGTAGAGCTGCTCGTTAATCCGCACGTCGTTCCGCATCTTTCTGCCCAATAGTTTCCAGATGTGATTGAGATCGGAGCCGAACTTCCGCAGTTCGTCGTCCTCGATGTTCTGCAGGAACTTGGGAGTGGCCGTCCAGTCGGCCGGGTCCCAATCCTCGAACTCGTAGCCTGGCTGCTCGAATGTGTCGTTGACGAACTTCTCCACCTGGTGCTTGTTCGGCGCGTTGTTCACGCTTTTCATGAAGGCAGAGAACGACGCCAACGTCTCGTTTGCCGACCGTTTCATCTTCATATCGACGAAGTACTTGGAGTCCTTGTATATGCCGGCCATTTGTACCGTGTGCAGCAGATCGCCGTGGCAGTATATCTCACTGGAAAGGCACGGTACATGGCTACTTGGCTACTCGACGAGCACGAGACCCTCTCGATCGCGTACAATTGGTCACGACGGTGGTCTCTCTCTCGCCAGGGCGGGAGTGTTACGTGAATGAAATCGATAGAACGAACTTTGCACCGGAGTAAAAAGAAAGGACGAACGTGTATGAAGACATTACGAACGGGACTGTTAATTTATGCGGCGATTTATGCAGACTTATGGTAACAACAAGATAACGATTATGAATAGCTTTAACGAGGAACATCGTTGACATAAGAGTTCCTGTTATTAATTAATTTCATAGATATGGTATCAATTAGACGACCTCCAAATCTCCTTTCACCGTTGTGCAAAGTCAATCCTGTATTAAAGGAAGCTATGTTAAGATTTCGAACTGTGGTGCAATCCTATAGTGACTTTATGAGACATACTTTTCAACTATTCGCGGTTTTCGCGGTTGAGTCGATATCTGGACCAATGTCTCGACCTCCACCTGAGCCGGAAATATTTTAAAACGCGCAATTTCCAATGAGAATAAAGGAAGTCATAGCCACTGATTGTAAGAAAAAAAAAAAGAGCTGTAGCTTCGAATTGCAAAATAGGATTATATATTATCGTTTATCCTCATAAACAACGATGACACGTCAATGAAGGTGCAAGCAACATATGTAAAAAATTTCGTCTGCTTAATAGTAACAAAATTCCAATCCAATTATATCGTTTTATTTTTTCCTATGAACTAGGCGTTACAAGTATCTTGATTACTTCCGGGAATACCTTCGGTAGGCCGGGATTAGATCAGAGCTCATAAAAAGAACGTATTCATTTAAACGAGCGCGTATTCATGCGGCAACAGTCGTAAATATGAAAATTCTGTCACGATTATTCAAAATTACGAAGCGTAGCGAGTTTAAATATCAAAAGTACACAATAAATTAAGTTAAAAACGCGATATATTTCTTCGAACAAATTCGTTAAAAAAAGATTCTACTGTCGTGAGAGCAACGCGAGCGAATATAGCATTGTTCTTGTTTGGACTGTTATTTTTCTGCTTGCATTCTTCTCGCTTCCGTTCCTCTCTCTCGAGTGGATTATTTTTTAGCGATCTCGGACACGCCGGGTTGCGCGATATCGCGCGGATTCGTGAACATGTAGATCAGTCCGGCCACCAGTACGTGCGAAATCGTGCGACTCCCGCTTTCCTGGATGGCCTTGATAAACGCGATCCCTGTGTGCACGTGCTCGTTCGTTTCGCGGCTAAGAATGAAATCGATTGTGGGATCTGTGCGTGGAATGGAGGAGATCTCGAGCGTTGTTCGCGTGACGGAATGCGCGAGGCGGCTGGCGATCAGCTCGCGAAATGTGCCGCCTCATTATCATTAGTAATACGCGCGCCACAGTCGCGTCTCGCGAATACGTTACGAGGGAGATAATGGTTTTCCCGTTCGTGCTGGAAACCGAACCGATTTCCGCGAGTCGCCTCTTTATGTAATATTAACACGATTACCGCAAAAATCTGATTACTGAAAAGAGACTGGTGGCCATCAAATGTTGAGTAAAATAATTTCAATCAAATGTTACGATTAATACAAAAATAAAAAGTCAAGGCTATGAGAGTAATTACTTTTATTATTCCTTTATATAGCCTTTTTTTTACTATTTTTTGGTTTAATTGGCGTTATTAATTTTACTTAATAATTAAAAAAATTATTTTACTTTTCTAAATTTTGTATCTAAATATTTATAATAAGAATTACCAAATATAATAATATAATCAATTATTTGATAATAATTATTAAATATTTAGAAAAGTAAAATTATTTTTTATCATATTAACAGAGTATTTGATTAAAATTTCATTCAACATTTGCTATTATCAGATTTTTTTTTAGCACAGAAAAAGGGTGAAAATTTCCGTGGGGCCTCCGATTTGTGAGGTCTTCTGATTATTAATCCATGATTACGTGCCGATCCTTTTAACACAAATATAATTATCCACATGGAATAACTGCACGCGTGGACGCATCTTTTAATCGAGACACGTCGCATAATATGGGAGTATTTTTAAAAGGAAAGATATCTATCTTTGCAAAGATCTGATATGTATAATCGTCAAGTTATTGTTGTTCCTAGAAGAGTATTATTTAAAGGAGTTTTTTCATGTCAAGTTTATTTGTTCCGTTGTCAGATTATCTATGTTAATACATTTTCAAATAGATGGAAACGATGGCGTGGGAATGATAGTGCGATTTTAGCGTTTGCGTAATTTAGCAGTATCCATGATAATTTCGTTTGAATACACATTCGTGCGATAACCGTAATCATTCAGTTTTCACCATTGTCAAGTTGGTTACCAAACCTTACTAAACCTTATATATGCACAATTATGCGTGATATGTTGCTAGTTAATAAATATTGCTGATTTCACATGATAAATGATCTAATTTAAATTACTAGCTTCTACCTATATTTATTATTCTCAAATAATATATCGACCGCAATGCAGACAAGCATTATTTTTTACATAAACTGGGCGTAAGAAATTATCATGGAAAATGGTAATAATTATCGCAAACAGGTTCGAACAGCTGTGTCAAATGCAGCGGATCATGAGATGCCGGCGATAAATCGTTTTAATTACATATTGATTTAATTAATGCTACGTGAATGCGGGTATTGCATCAGAAGATCTGCATTTGATATACTGTACACATTCGTTAATCTCCCGAATATAAATCTTCATTTACGTATAAGCAAACGAAATCGAATTAGATCTCCTTACGAAAATCCGGTGCTCTTAAGCCCGTTTCTACCAATGTATAGATTAATTCAATCTTGGTTCAACTAACTCTTCATCTTTTTCTAGTTCTAAGAATATTATGAAAAGATGAAGAGTAAGTTGAACTGAGATTAATCTACATTGGTAGAAACGGACATTAGACTGAAATGTTATTGCAGTCTCGGCCAAGAAGTGGCCTGATCGCGCCACTTTATTAAGACGTCATTCGAAAGATCTCCGGAAGATTCAATTTACTAAGCTCTAAGCGTGTTCGGCGTGCCGCCTCTCATATCCTTTGTACACCATCGCGTTATCCTACACGCCGTTATCATAATCAAGGATAGCTCAAATCGAGATATGCGCGTCTCGGTGAAGAAGACAGGAATGTGTCTCGACAGAGATCAGCGAAGTTAATCGTTGTCGCAATCAAATGTGCCCCTGACGAAAATGAGAAGTTTCATAAACGTTTGTTCAACGTTTACATGAGTGTTTGTGGAAGTTTGTTGAGAATTTAGAAACAGCTAGTAGAACGTTCGTAAAACGGAAATTGCAACGCTGCAGCGTTTGGAAGGCATTCTTCAAAAATAAGAAGTTTCATGAATGTTTGTTTGACGTTTACATAAACGTTCAGTTCAAGTGTTGAGCCTGCTGGACGTAGAAATTTTATAAAAAAAAAAGGTACGAAATTTTTCATTATACCGAGAGAAGTCTCATTATACCGCGCTTTTTATCTTATTTGATGTGGTTTTTTAAATGCGAGAAATTGAATTTCATTGTGTCCCTTTAGTAACGATGTTGTACACTGCTTGAAAATTGGATATGTAGAAGAATATTTGTTAAACGAAGGAAAAACGCTTGTGTTATGAAGTTGAGGAAAACGTTTTTTTGGGCGTTTTTAAGCCGTTTGCGTAAACGCCTTACAAAACGTTTACTGCGATTCGATAATTCGCCACGTTTGAACAACGTTTGCTGAACGGAAAGAAACTGCTTGTCTCACGGTATTAAGAAAAGCGTTTGATAAATGTTTGAAAAGTCGGACAGTAAACTCTCTGCACGAAGGTCCATCAGCGTTTACTGAGCGTCCTCTGAAAAGCGTTGTTTTAACATTACAGTACTTTCATGAAACGGTATATACTGTATTTTATAAGCGTTCTGAAAGTGTTTAAACCCAATGGTGTTCTGTAAGCGTTCTTATAAAGTTCGAAAGCGTAAAAATTCTCGAAAAATCGTCATTGAACGGTTGTCAACGCTTTATAAAGTTTCTTATTTTCGTCAGGGGCGCCCATTACTGGATATACCCGATGCACGTTATCTCGGAGACATGATTCGGATCTGCCTATGTCACAACACACTTATATTCGATAAACATGTTTGTGCATCGTGTGATGCGTAAGATACAAGAAGTCCTTGTCTTCTTGGAAAACATTATCGAATTTTGCGTCCGTGAATTAGCAGATAATTCCATATTCTGTCATTATCAGCAAATTGTGCTATCGTGATCCTTGAACACTTTAAGAAAAAAGTCATTATGTCTTTTTAAAGCAATTTTACCAAGAAATAAGTATCACATATATATTTTTTCATTGGACGATTTTTCTCTGTATTGTGGAAAATAGTATGTAGATTTGTTGAGATGGCGCACCGCCAAAATTCACGAGATTGCATACGAAAATGTTTAATATCTCTAGAAATCTCGATATAAGATAAATGCTCATGATTTAATTGACATTTTGCCCAGAATTCCTTCTAAATTTGTGCCAGTTGAATCGGTTATTATAAACTTCATTTTACGTAAGAATAAAATTCGAAATTTTAATAATAGATGTTCTATGTCGAGTACGAATATCGAAGGTTATAGTAAATTTCCTCTGTTTGAGTATTATGAGGAACACGATACACAATCACTGCTTTATCAACATTATGTTAACAAATCGATACCCTTCATTGCTCGCTTTGTTTAAGAACCGTGACGTATCTGCAAAAAGCAAAACAGTTTCGCAATTACGACAACCTGATTCTTTCTCGTATCAACTTCGAGTAATCGTTTGGTTAAAAATACCTTATATATCGCGTGTAAAATATTTTTAGAGCGTGTGCCATACGCGCGCGCGCGCGCGTGTGTGTGTGTGTGTGTAACAATGTTTTTCCATTTACATTTAAACAAGCGTAACAATAATCCTCGATGTGCACCAGCCACGTTTCTCGCGGGATCTCGGTGGGCAGAGAACGAACGCCAAATCTTTAGATAGAGATGCTGGCGGCGTCATCGATCGTACGAGTGAAAAGTTTCCGTTGCAATTCGACGCACACCATTAGCATGTGCACACATACACATGTAGACGCTGTAAAGGTCACGCTCATTGTGCTTGCGGAACACGATAATTTAGAGCCCAACTTGCCACGCGTCAGATTCCGGGACGACGTTCATTGCTAAGGTCATTTCCCTAAATGCTCGCGTCACGCGTGCCTGCTAATACAGTATCGCATATGCAATCCCGTCGGTGTAAAGCGACACAGATTTCTTAGTACGTCAGAGATACGATTATACTGTATAATGGCGCTTTACAAAGAAGAGGAAAGGACAAAATTTGAGAAGCGGCACACGTACTCGAATCTAATAAGCAGAATATTGCTCCCTCCGAAGTCGCATTAATGTTTATTCATTTCGTTAATTTTCCACGATGAATGAAATTTTTACCTTTTGTTCACAATTTTTTCGAACTTAGCGCAAATTTTTGTATTGTTCCAAAATGTGTGTAAAAATTTGAAAAAGTTCTTACATACTTCTGAAAATTTTTATACAAATGGCAAATTTTTATTATATAGAAACTGGATTGTATTTTACTTATTTTTTACAAATTTAAATTTATCTATTAGAATTTACAATCAAAAAATCGATTATATCTTTAAAATCTAATGTTGCTGTCGAAAGGTTGATTTTCCTTAATTTATTTCTCAACAATAGTTAATTTTCTATATTTTATTTAACATCGAAATGAAATAACGAAAAAGAAAAAATACACGCAAAAAAAAACGCACATTGATCTAATTTTAGAAAAGCGGACTATTTTTCTACGTATGTTTCCGCAACATGTGATTCGCATCTATGTCAAAATAAAATAGGAATCACTTGGGCAAAGTCCCAAATAACAAAAACACGATGCTACGAACTTCATTTGTAAGTCATAAAGTGTAGAAAAATGACATAATTTAAATAAATTAATAACATCGTTGAAAAAAATACATTTTACAAAGAAGTTGTATAACAAAAATGATCTTAAAAATTTCAAATATAAATAATGTTAAAAAAATGAAAATTGAGAACAAGCGATTTTATTGCAAACAAAATTGTTCGCAAATCCGTCGAGAAACTTTACGAATGACGTATATGACACTATTTTTTATCGCATGTATAACGTGCCTCGTTGTCGACATGATATCATTCGAAGTCTCGTGACATTTCCTCGAGATGTCTGATACTTAAGATTGGTCAGCTGTCGGAATTTATTCATTTAATGTCGTAGTTTTCTGGTAACTAGCGAATATATTTAAATAAATTAAAAATTTTGAATTTTAAGATTCTGTAATTTATACAAACAATCTATTTGTTAAAAAAAATATTGGTACAAATATATTCTACTTTCGAAAAAACCCATTTTTGAATTTATTAATTTTTTTTTTTTAGAAAATTGAGAGTTGCGATGATATTGCTGTTGGCAATCATACTAATATTCTACTTTGTATCTTTCTACACATAATTAACTTCTGGCAATTACGTGAATTTTCGTTATAATCTCTATTTCTGCTTACAATAGAATAATTTTAAATCAAATGCAGTAAACCGTCCCAAAGGTAAGATGCGACAGCTACAAATATTTTTATACGCGGCAAACAATTCTGCATAGTAACACATTTTATGTTGTTTTAAATTTAAAAAAATATATTTAAATAAGCATTGTTGGTTGTATGTAAAAACAATTAGCTAAATGACAAGCAATTCTTGCTTTTTTTTACGTAATAGTCTGTAGTTTGAAATGCACTTATGGAAAATGCGATAATGCCTAAGTTCTAACTAATTTAGTCCGACGTCATTTTGTAATTCTATCTTCGCAAACGATCAATGATGATTAGTGAGATAAGTGTACGATCATTGGGATATAAAATTTTATACTATTATGCCTCTAACATATCGGTTACGTATAAGTCAGTGGCGTAAAGCACTCGAATTCAAGTGTTTAACTATGATAGAATCTACATAAATTCACACTGAATGACAAAGCAGTTGTAGAAAAATTTCAAATATTTTATTCAAGATTTCTTCTTCGAAATGTCTTCAGTTGCTTTAATTAAGAATATTTATCGATTAAATTGACGTAACATATTTATGAAGAATTTAAACATTCTCAATCGCCGATAGCTTTAAATTATAGGCAGATCGTTAACGTTGAAAATTTTTCGCATCGTACAACGGAAAATGTGACTTGACAGCAGTTTATCGCAGTTTCGAAGGCCAGCGGCAGCAGTATCGGTTTCTAACGTCATTTAAGCAATTATCTGTTAACGAGTTATTTCATCGCGAACAATGACATGGGCAAAAAAAAAAAATAAAGAGAGTGCGAGTTCGAATCGAGTTCTTGGGATGGATCGAGTGCAGAATGAGTTTCGTTTGGCTGGTTCTCTGAGACACTTACCTTGAGCACGGGGGCGGTTTCGTCGTGCCCGTGTTATCCGCGATAGAAGTGCTCGGAAGAACGACGAGGAACATGAAGAGCGCAGCGTGCACCAGAGGACGAAACATCAAAACGGAGCATGTCGGGACCATGGCCATTTTTTTCGCTCTCTCGGTTTCGTACTACTATACGTGCGTGCGTGTACGATCTACCTTTTCTTTCTTTTTTTTTTTCCTTTCTGTTTGTTACTGCCGTGTCGGCCGAATATATCGCGCGATCCGGTTTTACGTTACACAAGCACGCGCGGACAAGCACGGGCGCATCACTCTTTCTCTTGAGGTTTTACGGGAAAATGACGCGAAATGAAAACACGAGAAAAAATAACCAACAACGCGTGTACCGAAAGCCAGATTTTAACGGTCTCTCTCTCCGACTTTCCCTCCTTGCTTTCTATCGAAAAAAAACCGAAAAGCCGTCTCCTCGATGTTACGATATGCGCGTTTTCTTTTTTTTTTTTAACTTTTCTCTCGCTTTTCCTTCTCTCTCCTCCTCTTTCACTCTTGATCTAGCGACTCTGCTTTCTTCGCTAAACGTTTCTCCCCCGTTTTGCTCCTTTGTTGTTCGATTTTTCCGGTTCTTTATTTTTTTCTTTTTTTTTTTGCTTAGACCCGGCTAGATTCGACAGTGTCTCTCGTGCTTCGTTCTTTCGAGCGAAGGATACGAGGATGATGGAGTGCGCGGATGATGATCCTGACGCGAGTGATCCTTACTTTTTCGTGATCGATTTCGGATGCGGGCCCACGAACTTTCGCAGCCGACGGGACGGTCTCAGCTCCAACAGCGAGGCCGCATCTCCCCTGCAACATGAAATGCAAAAACAGATATTAGACGTAGAAGTCACGCGCGAGAGGAATTTTCGCTAGTAGATAATATCGCAATCACATACTTATGTCATTAACATTCTAATATCTTTCTTCGTAAAAGATTCTTTGCCGCGATGTACGATAAGACGTATCTAAGACGATGGATAAAGAAGTTACGATACAACGTGTACCGTGTGTTTCATGTATACAATTCGTGAAAACGAATCAAAATACTGGAATAATAAACGATACTATCAGAAATTGGAGAGAACGTAGCACGTTCCTTGCAATACGCGCGTAGATAATTGCTCGGTTCTTGCTGCGTTTTCACATTATTAAAGAAACGTAAAGTCGTTCGATGTAGCGATATGTAATAGGTTTAATATCAGAACCAGTAAATCGATCTCTCATTAGCTAATTGCACTCAGCGCATTTGAATTATGTGCCGAGTTGTGATTTGTGAGTCACGTTAAAACAACTCGATATGCATTATCGATAAATATGCCGTCAATGAGGAACGATTCTGAGAATCTGCAATAAATCAAATAACTCGCGAATAATTCGATGAATTCGTGAGATGTAATCAACCCAATTGCGATTTAACAAATAAAATAAAAAGAAAGAAAGTGAGGCTTTTATATATCTTTAAAGCCGTCAATTTTATTGTGATAAGGTTTCCGTCGTTTTTCGCGAGCGAAGTTGACCTCGATGAGAAACCTTGAATATCTTGAAATATTTCTCGGAGTATTAATTAAAAATATCACGTGTTGTAATTAATTGAATGTACGATGAAGATCTAACTACTTTGAAAAAATTAATCTGGAATTTTAATTATCTAATTATTATATATAAATAAAATTTAATAATAATGTATATTCAATTTATTAATAATTTATTTATGTTATAATATGTTATATGTTGTTAAAATTTAATAATTTAGTTCTAAAAAAATTTATCATAATATATTCATTTAATTTAAATAGATAACAAATGATGAAAGATTAGATAAATAAGATTTTTGATAAAAACTATAAGATAAGGCTGTGAAATTTTAAATTATGTGAAGTTGCGAAATTCTGACCGAAAGTCTCAAGACGCGTTTTATTTTCTGCATGATCGCTCACCATTGAAACGTGTGTACAGTGACATGGTCGTTAAGTTTATCAATACCGGTCACCAAATTGACATCACTCGCGCTTATTTCCGTCACTAAATGGCACTGGCTACATTTAGCGACGGAGCAACATACGAGTGCTATACGTGTCACCTGTTTGTTCTCGGTACAAATCAAGAAGGCAGATAAAGTTGATATTAAATAACGGCCAACAATTATTATCGAATAATTGATTTCGCGTCATTGCAATTTAAAATCTTCTCTCTCTCTCTCTCTCTCTCTCTCTCGCTCTCTCTCTCTTTTTCTTGTCTCGCGATCAAATGTCCAATTTAAAAATGTAGAAATGAAGATGCAAAAATACAATCGAAGTCCTATCATAAAATTCTACCTTGCAATTTATGCGACACGTGTATCGCAGAAACATAATAGTATCTTTCTGCGATATTTAATGTTACATGCTCTTTAAAAGATTAATAAATATATGGTTTAAAAGGTTAAATGACATGTACTTTAGAAGGTTAATAAGTATGTAACAAAAATAGAAAAGACAACTGTGTTTCCGAATATACGAAGCGCAATAAAGTATCGTAGTCAATTATTTGATTGATGATTCAACGGTATGGAATCGCAAATTAACAGCAGTACGTTTCATCACTGCACGTTTTATATATTATCCTCCTGATGCCGTCACAATCTCACACAGGAAAATTCTACAAGATTCCAACAAACAAGAGCATAGTATAATTATAATAATTGCGTATGTTTAATCCCCGCTTTAATCTCGTCTATTCGTGATTCTCAGAAAAAAAATGATAAAAATGCAGTGAATAAATAATTACGATTATTGCTGTAATTAGAGTATATCTCCTGTCACGACGCGCGATGCGCGCGTAACTACTTACGGGAAGCACGCAAGTCAACCTTCGCGTGTCTTTCCAATCTCCCGACGCGACGGGACGCAGTCGTAACGTAGGCACCGTTGCGTTAAAAGGTTTTCCTTCAGCCCGCGTGATCGCTCCGCTCCTGATCGCGCGCCAGCTCGTCGCGCATAAAATTATCCCTCAAGAGCGTAATGGATCAGCAACGGGATCTCGTGCCTGGTCTAATTGTAGCCACCGATGCTGGACGATGAAACCTCCGGCATACGTGGGATGAAACCGAGGGAAGAGGAACCGGGAAGCAGAGGAGAAACGACAGAAGAAGAAGAAGAAGAAGAAGAAGAAGAAGAGGAAGAGCGAAAGAGGAAGGGAGGGAGGGACACGCCGACAATGCACACTAGCCTCTCTCTCTCTCTTTCTCTTTCTTGCCGATGGGAATCCGACGATGCCTCAGCTCCAGCAATGCACACGGTGCAACGTGCGTCGTGCGACTGATTCGCGCGTCCCACGCGGCTCGCCTTTTAAACGGCATTACGTCACGCCGTGTACGAGTCGAGCCTCCGACTGCGCGATCATCGATTGGACCGCAACGCCGTGGCAGTCTTGTCGATTGGTCGACGTGAGACACACACCCCGCGCCGGATTCAAATTTTAAATGCGTTCGCGAAACACGGAGTCGAGCGAGAGAGATCCGGATCCGGGAGAGACTGCTGCTGCTGCTGCTGCTGCTGCTCCCGCTGCCGCGCGTTTCGGAGAACGAAAACAGATCCGTTGCGTGCAGACGGACGGTCGGGTGACAATGACCGAGGACTGAATCGCGGCTATCGTGTAAGCGAAATTTTTCGGATGCGCATTTTCGACGGTTATGAGAGATGAGTGTCTGGGACTTACTGAGAAGAAGATAGAAGGGATATAAGTTTAGATATCCAAGCGTGAAATCTTAGATAATCATTTTTTACACGTGTCATGTTTCGCAATAAAATTAAGGCTGGTATTCATAGTCAGTTCTTATATTTAAGACCGTCCTAAGTACAGTAATAAAATTTTATAATCCCATTACAGGCCGGTATTTACAGTCGGTCTTTATTCCAATATTGTTTCAAGTAATGTCTTAAGATGGTCTTAAATATAAGATCTGATTATAAATACTGTGGCCACAGAGTCGTATTGGCGTCTCAAGATTTTACTTTAGATGTTCTTGTAATAAGAACGGACGAATACCGACCTAAGAATTAAAATTGCAGGATCTCTTGCAATCGTCCCCTTTGACATTCATAAGTTCAAATTATTTTTGATACCCCAAGTAAAATTGTATGAAGGATATTATTAGAACTTTCTTAGGAAAATGTCAAGATGTGGAAAAAACACATACGTAAACGTTAACCGAGCTCTGACGTCTAAATCTGTAATTTCTCTATTGGTACTTATGACGTCGATCGCTGGCGCAAATAGTGAAAGTATCGCAGAATCGTACGAAATTGTTGAGAACTGCATAATTGACGGAAGTGAGTTTCGGAAGTGACGTTTAAATACGGTATATGTGTTCAAGGAACTGTTCTACTTAGCTGTAGAAAAAAGATTGTTACAGCAATCGGAGAGTCTTTTTCCTTTCTCTCGGAGAGTCCATAAATTCGCTCGACACGGAACAAAGTATAAATTCGCGAAAGGCTGTGACAAAGACTGTACTGCCAGTACTGAAAATATAATTCACGTTACGTATATTATAGATTCAATATTGGCAGTATATATCGGAACACAGCCAAAACGATCATTCGTGCAAGTAAAAAGTAGGCCGTTTGCCACGGTTCATTGACAGTAAGAAAATATACTTCAAGCTTATACTTGGTGTTTAAAATATACTTCAAGGTTACATCGACTATATACCGAAAGAAGGATAATTAATTATGACAGTAAAACGTACAATCGCGACGTAAACTGTTGAATTGTCATGAGTACATCATCATCCACCGTAGTCGATAATATTATATGTTAATCGTCTTTTCGCCACCGTATTATTTATTCGCGCGACGTGATAATAATCGTATCGACGTAAATCGTGCCAATCAAATAGAAAAAATACACATAGCTCGCCTATTATTGCGCAATCAATGTTATATAATCCTTTTTATAATACTTTGAATCATCACATGAGCTTTCCTCTCACGTTTCTTGTAGATGAATAGGTCGCTAGTTACAATATTTTAAACGGTGGTGAATACGTATGCACATTTGCTTGACATTTGTTGAATTGTTCACCGTAAAGTACAAATTGTCTAAGAGACAAAGGATGAAACAGTCGTATGAATATTACTCATCGGTGGATAATTGCGCCCTCGTTTAACAAAATTTAACAAAATAGGACATACCGTGATTAGATTGCACTTCACCTATTTTCGATTCGATTATCCGCTTTAATCTCGATATCTTATCTCATCCGTGTGTACAATTTCTATGACAGAAAATTGGCACGTTCTCTTTACTACCACCATCATATATTCTCGCGATGTCGAAACAATTTTTGGATCAAGAATTGCGCCGCTTTACGTAATCGCGGTCTTCCTTTTCTGCACCTTCAAGACAATTCGGATACCCGACTTTCAAATTTCATGATGTATCATTTTAACTTTGTTCTTTTTAAGCGAATTAAGGAAAAATAAAATGATACATCATGCGTATCGTGCGCTTTGTAGAATGTAGTCAGTTCGGCTTGACTTTACACATTCAAATTTTCCTATGACCGATCATATAATCTAATAAGCTACAGATCACATTACGCGGTGCAATGACTTGATCCCAGTTGCAATATGTAACATTACTTTTCGTTGCATCATGTATTCGTACTGTGAACTAATATGATAACTAAAATATGATTGCAGTTACTTATCTCGTTGATGCGATGAGTCTGATTAATTTCATGCAATTAAAACTTTACTTACAACGCTATTGCGATTAAATCGCAACTATCATTCTTTTCAATTTGCAATTTTTGTAATTTGCTACTT